GTTACAGCTACAATAGAAGTATTACGAAAGAAAATCCATGCGTTTATCTCACTCTAACTCGGAACTTTGGCAGAAAAAATATGGGCTTTACCCACCTGAATTGGTAGCTGTTAGTCTCTTCCATCCTCAAGATTTACACCTGTAAAATAGATTTTTTTAACACTTCTTTCATTTATTTGCTGTGAAGCCTAAATTTAAAAACATATTAAATGTGGCAATATTATAAAATGCCAAGGGTGCCACTTCGTATATATTCATTTTACCCCCAAGTCCCTCAACTCATCATCTTCATTTTTTTTCCTAGAAGTCAAAGAATGTATTTGCTATGGTTTGGATCTTGACTGTCCCCAAAGACCCATGTAGTAAAGGCCTAGTACTCAGGGTGCTGCCTCTGGGAAGTAGTAGAACCTTTGAGAGTAAGGTCTTGGACAAGGTCCTTAGGTCAGAGGGAACATGCCCCTGAAAGGAGTTGTTCCTCTTCCTCTTTTTTCTTTGCTCTCTAGCTCATGATGTGAGGATATTTGCTCTTCCACATTCTCCTGCCATGATGTGCTACCTTTACACAGGCCTGAAACAAGGAGATCAGTCATACGTTGACTGGAATCTCCAAATCTGTGAGCCAAAATTAATGTTCTTCTCTTCATAAACTAAATATCTCAAGGATTTCATTACAGTGACAGAAAGTTGGCAAACACAGTATTTTTCTCTTCAGTTTCATCCATTTCTTGATGAAAGATGATGTGTTAAAATCTGTGATGAAGTGATAGATGATGATGCATAGTGCTGCATGATGATGGGTAATATTAAATACTACACTGATTATGATCGGAGTAAAATGTCAGACTCCATTAAGCAAGAATGTTTTCTGCATTCACATGTATCACACACATGATGTGATGGAACAATTATATTTGCTTAGTAGGTAGAGAATAGGATTTATTTGGGAAGCTCTTCATAATTTCTTCCCTGAGGTGAATGCTTGCAGGTATGGTGCTGGTCCTCACCAGGGGTTTAGAAGTCATTATGTATGTGCCATAGTGGTGACAAGGGAACAGAGGAGGAGAGTAAAGGAGTCTCACCAGAGCAATGAGAATGGAAACAAAGCAGAAAAGCAGTAGAAATAGGAGGAAAGCTGTTCTGTGGGTAATATTAACATGTCATGACCTCTAAAGTTACTAGCTTAAGAGAAGTTTGTTGTGCATTGATTCTTGGGGATACCATAAAAGTTACAGTTTCACATCTAGATCCATGGCAGGCTATCAGACAGCACAGATTTAGGAAAGGAAGTAATAGAGAACTTGGTAAATTAACCCTAAGAAATTTACAGGCATCACAGGGAGGATTAGGAGCGCAAAACTCAAACTGAAGGTTTGTGTGGGATTCACGTGGATCTGAGTATGAAGCTCTTTGGTGACATTTGCTTTACATATGATCACACTGGCATTTCGATCATCATTATGTTATGGTTTGTGTTACCCTGTGTATGACACCGTGATATAAAATCCTCTCTAAAATCACTTTGAAATAAAAACGTTAAGTTCTCAAAGTTTTCATAGAATATATATTTTTCAAATGTTAGATAAATAAACTAAAACCCTTTATTACACCTTTAACTCTGAGTCATGCTATAGGTCAAATTATAGTCTCCTATCATGATAAGAAGCAGAGTCAGAAATAGAAATCATATCCTTGTTCTAAATTACCAATATTTTAATAATATTTATTCTATGATGTAATCATAAAAAGTCAAGTCTATGTACAACATTACTTGGCTTACAAAATATTTTTTGTAGGTTGAAAGGAGGGCAGGGGAAGGGGGAAAAAACAAGAACCAAGAGAGTATGTAAAGGTGCATATCTCCAAAGATGAATGTTATATTGTACACCTAAAATGTACCAATAAAAGGATATACAAAAAATATTTTTATATACACACATGTGAGTGTATGTATATGTATATGTATATATATATGTATGTATATATATATTTAACAGACTGAGAGTGGTAGCTGGGAGACAAGTTTTTAAGTAGGGTTATGATTTGGGAGATTTGGAGAGAAAGTGAGAGAAAAAAAATCACACTATTAAAAGTGAAATAACAATCCATGGCTGTATAGAAAAATAGTCACATGAAAAATACTGGTAAAAATGCTTGTAAGACTTAAAGAAAAACACTTTAAACTTGAGAGGAATTATTGAAGGTATGTTAGATGATAGCAGTATATCAGTTTGGGTCTTGGCTGAGAACAAAATTCATCTCAGATGGTTCTGATGAAGAGACAGTATTACAGTGGTTCTCAGCCTTGGATGTAGTGAAAATCCTTGGGAGCTATTAGAAATACTGGCACCTGAATTCTACACCTAGAGGTTCTGCTAAAGTTGGTCTGGTTTGTGGCCTGGCCACTGGGATTTTTTTAAGCTTCCCAACTGACTCTAATATGCAGTCTAAGCTAAGAATCACTGCCTTAAAACAGAGATTACTTTCAGAGGTGTGTGCAGTTTAAGAATTAAGTAATGTTAAGAAATCAGAAAGTAATTAAAACGGGAGCTATTACTACCCTTGCAGCCACAGATCAAAGAGAACAGTAGATTGACTCAGTGAAAGCAGAACCAGTGGAGAAAGGAACATTTTACTAGTGCTATGGGGTGTGTGTGTGTGTGTGTGTGTTGGAGGGGGAAGGGGAGTGTGTGCTGCTACTCCAGACACAAGTGAAGCAGGTGTATCAGTTAAAGTGTGGCAGAGAAACAGAATCAAAGGGATATGTGTGTGGGTGTGTTTCTCATGGTATGTGTGTCTATGGGATTGGCTTATGTCATTGTAGAGGCTAGCAAGTTCAAAGTGTGCAGGGTAGGCTTGCATTCTGAAGACCCAGGAAGACTCGATGCTGAAGTTCCAGTTTGAAGTTAATTTGTTGCCAGAATAACTTCCTGTTCCTAGAGAAGTCAGTCATTTGTTCTATTCAGGCCTACAATTAATCAAATCACAAGCCCACACCCTCGTTATGAAAAATAATCTGTTTTACTCCAAATTTAGCACTTTAAATAGTAATTAAATCCAGAAACACTCTCACAGAAGCATCTAAAATACTGTTTTACCATATATCTGAAGAGTGAGCTCCAGCCAAGTTGGCATATGAAATTGTCATGTACTGTCACATTTTGTATTGAAATAGAAAATTGAAAGTGGAGAAGAAATAGCCCAATTTCATTCTCTAAGTCCTTGGACCAAACAGTCTCCAAGGACAGAACTCAATAAAAAGTGGATAATGGACCTGAAAGAACAAAGATGGGTGTCTGCCTGCTCCATTAGCCCGTTTATCACAGACATGATCATTAGTTTGGAAATACCTTTTCTATTGTTAGATTTCCAGCTTGGTTAGGTTGAGCGACATTACATCAAACTTTATTTTTTTAAAAATTACACTACTAGCCTTATATTTTCTAAGTGATTTTCCTAATGATGTTTGCTGAGATGCTTTGAGTTTAGACTAAGCAGAGAGTTTTATGTCACAAGTGCAAATGTGAATTTTTTTAACAAATAAAAACAGTAGTAAAACTTATTTTCAGTTTAAAATGTACTATTCTATTTAATTTTATATTAGGCTTTATCAATATTTTATATTTTTAGGAGGTTTTGTTTTATATTAAATATTTTGAAAATCTGTGAGGAAAAAGATGGGTGGGTATAAAAGATAAAGGTGTACAGAGGCAGTATTTATTATACGATCTGAATGCTATTGCAATAATCCAGGTAACAAATGATTAATATTTGTGCAGCTGTAGAAATAGCAGAGGGCTTTGACTATGGTGATGTTTAGTCTAGAGCCTCACCTGTTTCTTGTTTATGTGATATAAGCTACTACATAAATACATGGAGAAAGAGCATGTGGATATATATGTTATCCGTAGTACATTGAAGTGGAGGTTGAAGCAGCAAAGGAAAATCTTGTCTGGAACTTGGGAGAGCATCAAGGGATTGTGGCACACAGACTGCGCCATCTTTGTTGTACACCACTGATGGATGAAGTAGTGGTACTGGGTAAGCTGTTGTAGAAGATAAGTCTGTACAGAAGGAGAGTAAACACATATGAAGCACTGGGAGCCTTTAATATTTAAGGAATGGATAGAGAGCTAAATAAAGAATAATCAGAGACATGAGAGTAAAACTCAAAGAGAAGGGAGTCAAGAAAGCCAAACCAAAAAAAATTTTTTTTCAAAGGTGAAGTAGTGTCAAGTGGTTAGGAAAACAATGTAAGTTTCAATGAGGATAGTCTGAGTATTTGGAGCAGAAGCTGTACTATAACAGGCTGAAGAAAGAGGAACTATAGATAGTGAGGGCAGGTGATTCTCTTAATGAATATAGCTATGAAACAAAAGAAAAGGAAATGGAGCTAGATGGGTGAAGGGAATTTTGTTTATTTTTTTTCTTTGTCTTCTGTTTTTAGTGGGACAAAGAAGTTAGAGTACTGGCTTATATCAGAGTTTAAGAATCTGCAGACGAATTGATTCTAGGAATTGACTAGATTCATTGTATAACTTTATGTGCACAGTGTGGAAGGTCAATAGAATCAAAGATCTTTAAGATAGGACAAGACAGTTGAATAGCTTTGGTATAATATAAAAAAATGTTGTATATCAGAAGATAAAGGCTGCTGGTCAGATAATAATGTTCTCATTAAAAGTTGGGGACTTGTCTGAAGGTTACAAGATAAGAATAGCAGGTCTGAGTTAAAGAACTATAAGTCCAGATAGGATGAGCTTAAAAGGATGGGGTGCTTATTAAATGAAAAAGTACACATACAATGAGCCGGAAGTAGCAGTAAAGAGCCTAAAGGATGATAGTCCTACCTCAGGGACTAAGATGAAGAACACACAGCTTCTACTAAAGAAGGCAATGTAAGCAAAGGTTTCTGTTTTTTAAAAGGATATGCAGAAGGTGTCCTTGGATAGTTCAAGGACTTAAGGATGTAGGAAACTTTGCTTTGCTTCTCTGTTTTTCAGAATGTGTGATTACACAGATCCGTGGAATAAGTGCAGAAGTGGAAATGTTTGGAGGGAAAGGAGAAGGAGAAAGATGAGATATGAGGTCAAGAGAGCGTCATCTAAGGTGACTAAGCATATAGAGAGTTAGGGAGTAATGTGTTAGAAGTAACAGAAATGGGGTTCCATAAAGCACTTTATATGGAAATTCTATTTCAAATAATATTAGTAGTAGCATAAGTCTTAAGTTTCCAGGTATCTGACTTCCTAGGTATCCTTATCTTGGTACAGAATTGATCCATCATGCTAGTAAGACAAGGTGACCATTAAATAACTCCTGCTGTTTCTTAACTTCTAGCACATGCTGGCTGGGCCCAGTTTTCAGGGCAATGGCAAATGAATAATTGTTAGTGAGTGGAAGTCAGTGTAGTAAGTATGATTAAATGTGGTGATTTTATTTTGACCACTTATCCTTTAGTGGGACTTATGGGAATCCTAAAGACAGTCACAAGAAAACTGTGATTGACCAGGGTGATTGTTGAGGAATTATTATTCCCATTCCTTTCCCCACAGGAGTTAGTTGAAATTTCCCAGTAGACTCAAGATACAGAATAAGCCCCTTCAGTTCTTGGAGAGAAGAAACAGGGATTTTCCAGGGGAAGAGAGAATCCCCTATCTTTGCCTCACCAAGGTTCACAAAGAAAGGGACAAAATTCTGCAGAGCAGGACCTCTATTTCATATGTCACATGAAAACACACACACATTCTCATCACAGAAACCACATATGGTACTTATATTTTATTGAACTTTTGTGTGTTGATTTCATTCTTACCTAATAGATTTTGGTTCTTTTAAAAAGTTTTGTGGACATATCATTTGTTTTTCAGACATGACTCAGCATTTGGTTTTTGTTTTTTTCCCAAAATCTAAGTTGGGACCATGATAGCAAATACTTTGGATAGTACAGACAATATTGCCAGAAAAGGAAAGTAAATGCTGTGAATTGGCATTTATGAAAGTTATAAGGAAAACTTATGCCTATTTTGTTGGAGATGGGAAATCATCAGTTAGAATGACTTATGAAAAAGAATGTAGAAAAATGAAGGTTTTTTATTTTTCTACTAGTTTTATTTTATTTTAGTTATTTATTCCTTAAATGGGCCATATGCACACTCAGACTAATTCTAAGGAACATAAAAGGCTCAGGACTCCTCCTGGCTACCCAGTTTCTCTCCCACAGATGCCTAGAGATGTCTGTGGAAATGAAGGTTTGTTTTAAAGCAATCTTCAATATCAAATCTTTAACATATATTAGAATATATTTTAATGTTATTGAAAAAAGACTGAATTATATAAATATATTGCAGAAATGGTAGGATAATCGTCCTGACTAATATTTCAGGTCCAATTTAGATAGTACTTCATGAAAATTACTCTGTTATACCACTGAGTCTTTGCATTCATTGCAATTATAGGAACCTATTGAAGGTCTTCAAATCAGCTTATCTTGGCAAGGAAGGATTCTAGGAAGAATCAGAAATCTATCTTTCAATGCAGGTAATTATTCCACTGATAGAATCTGTGTAATGTAACCGTTTTAAAAATCTAGACCCTATTGAAAAATTTCAGTATCCAGGAGAGGGTTTGGGTGTTAAATTATGGACAATTTTAATCAATGTCAGCTCTGCCCGCTGGCAGCAACTACCCATTTACCACTTCCAGAGCCCTGAGATAGACAGCGCTGCATGTGTTCCTGAAACAGCTTACACATGACTCTCAGGAGCCAGGGTGGACAATAAGAAAGCTCTCCTCTAAAGAGTGGATATCTGTGCTTTGTCATTTGCTGCTTGTGATCATGGAAATATAAATGTAGAGGTGGGCAGCACTTTCCTCCATTGTTGGGAGCCCTTTACTCTCTTAAATAAAGTCATTTTTAGGAAACTAAAGGTCTATTAATATTCTCCTCATTGGTTTTTATTTTGTCATCTCTTGAGAGATAAAAATCAAAGAATAGAGTAATCAAAAGCAGCCACATGTAAGGGAGTGACTAGAAAATCACAATATGAATTTGTACCAATTCCTCAAGTTAATGTAATTATTATGTATCACAAACAAACATTAATAATAATGAAAAAGAAAAAACTATTATACCCAAGAACAGGAAATGTTCAGAAAAAACTGAAAAGACCATACATTTACACATAAGACTGATCTTCAGCATAGAGACCACTTGCACAAATTAGATCAAAACAATAATACCCAGTAAACCATGAGGAAGGGAAAGAATTTGATTTCAAGAATTACCACATTATTTGAATCAAATACTGAGTTTTCAGCAACAATAACAAGAACAACAAAAATCACAAGGCATACAAAAGAACATAAAATTAAGTTCTGCTCAAAGGAAAAAAATTAAGACAATAAAGAACTGATGGTACCTGTATTAGACAAAGATTTAAAAATAATTATATAAAACATGCCCAAAGAACTTAAGGAAGACATAAGGTAATTCAGGGAAATCTATGAATGAGCAAAATAGACATTGCTATGGAAATCTAGAAAACCTAAAAAGAAACTAAACAAAAAGTTTAAATCTGAAAAGTGGAATGAAAAATTCATGATAGTGATTCCAAAGATTTGAACAGAAATAATTGTCAGAAGAAATAATCTGAACACTTGAAGATGAGAGCTTGAAATTATGTCTGAAGAATAAAAAATTAAAAAAGATGGAAAGAGCCTCAGAACCCATAGAACAGCATCGGAACCTGTAGAACTAACATACATTATGAAGATTCCAGATGGAGAAAAGAAAGCAAGGCACAGAGAGAATATCTGGAAAAATAATGGTTGAAATTTCCCTGTATTTGGTGAAAGAGGAATACAAAAATAAGAAGCTTAGTGAATTGCACCCAGGATGCATTTAGAGACCTATACCTAGATTAATTACAACCAAACTATCAAAAGCCAAAAACAAAGAGACACTCTTTAAAGTAGCCAGAGAGATGCAACTTAGAATATACAAAGGATCCTCACTGGTACCACTAGGTTTCTGATGAGAAATGGTAGAGGCCAGAAGGCTCTAATTGGAGGCCAGAAGACTGATGTATTTAAAGTGCTAAATGAAAAAGAAATGTGAAACAGGAACTCTATACCTCACAAAAGTGTCTTTCAAAAGTTGGGGGGTGATGAAGACATTCCAGGTAAACAAAAGCTGAGGGAGTCATTACCGCTAGATCTGCTGTGAAAGAAATACTAAAGAAAGAATTTCAGGCTTAAATGGAAGCATGCTAGATGGCAACTTGAGGCCATATGAAGAAATAAAGATTATAGTAAAGGTGAATGCCTAGGAAACAATAAAGGCTAGTATTATTTTAACTTTACTTTGTATCTCCACATTTTGTTGTACATAATTTAGGAGACTGATACATTAAAAATTATTATTTTGTGGTTTAGGACACACAATGTATAATGATGTAATTCTGTGTCATTAACAATTGAAAGGAGTGAAGACAGAGTTATAAAGGAGCAAGGTTTGTAAGTTATTGAAGTTAGGGTGGTACAAACTCAAATTAAAGTGTTATAACCTTAGGTTGTTAAATGTAATTCCCATGCTAGTTCAAAAGGAACTAGCTAAAAATATGAACAAAAGAAAGTGAAAGCATAATTAAAACTTCACTACAGAAATTAAACTACATACAAAAGAAGATAGTGCAGAAAACGAGGGACGGAAGTTATAAAATATATAGAAAACAGTAACAGGATGACAGAATCAGTGCTTATTGGTTGTTCATGTAAATGAACTACCCAGTCACAAGACCAAGGCTAACAAAATGAATTAAAACAAGAATAACGATCGAAATCATGATCCAACTACAGTCTGTTTACAAGAGTCCTGTTATATCCGAGACACAACTATGTTGAAAGTGAAACAATGGAAGAACATACTCTATGCAATCAGTGACCAAAAGAGGGACATGATTATACCTACATCAGACAAAATTAACACTAAAAAAAAGCAAGAGAAAGATATGTTAATAAAAGGTCCAATATAGCAAGAAGTCATTTACAATTTGAGGAGTTAATAAAAGAATACACTAAATCTAAACTTGAAGTCGAAGGAAATAATAGATCATAGCAGAGATAAATGAAATAGGAAATAAAAAAAGATAAAGTCAGCAAAATGAAAAACTAATTCTTCAAGAAGACCAAACAAATTGAAAAACCTTTAGTTAGAATAACTAAGAAAAAAGGGAAATGATTCTAATTACTAAAAGTTGAAGAAAATCAAGAATATTATTATCTATTCTATAGAAATAAAAAGATTATACAAACATACTATCAACAAATAATTACCAAGAAACTAGATAACCTACATAAAATTGGCAAATTCCTTGAAAAACAAAACCTACCAAATTGAAATCATGAAGAAATAGGAAATATTAATATACCTATAACTAGCAAGGAGATTGAATCACTAATAAAAAATCTCTTAAAAAAGAAAAGCACTTGTCCTGATGACTTCACTGGTGAATTCTATGAAACATTTAAAGAACTAGCATCAATATTTCCCAAACTTTCCCAGAAAAAGTGAAGAGGAGGGAGCACTTCCTAACCCACTCTATGGGCCAGCATTAATCCTGATACTGAACCCAGACAGAAACTCTACCAAAAAAACTACCCACCAATATTCATTATGAATGATGCAAAAATTCTTAACAAAATAAATATAGCAAATTGAATTTCTCAGCATATTAAAAAGATTATGATTTAATCTCAATCATGAACACATGGGATTAATTTCTGAAATGAAAGGATTTTTTTCTTCTTGGTTTCTTTCTTTTAAATTGACATAGAAAAATGTATATATTTATGGTGTAAAACATGATGTTTTGATATATGTAAACGTTGTGAAAAGGCTAAATTAAACTAATTTACGTGTCACCTCACATACCTATTATTTTTTAAAGAACACTCAAAAGCTGCTTGCTTAGCAATTTTCAAGTGTTTAATACATTACTATTAACTTTAGTACATTAGACATCTTGAACTTATTTCTATTGTCTATCTCTCTTGTTTTATTCCTTGTTCATAGATTATATTATCTTATATGTAGAAAACTCAAGATTCTACAAAAATATTGTTACAACTAATAAATTCAGCAAAGTAGCACTTCACAAAGTCAACAAAAGTATCAGCTGCATTTTTATATTCAATGAACAACTCAGAAAGGATAGTAAGAAAATAATTTTACTAAGAATTGCATTAAAAAGAAAAAAATAATTCATCTGATAAATTGCTTGTATGATGAAAACTACAAAATTTTACTAAAAAAGACATTTTTAAATAGAAAGAATCCTCTTTTTGTGGATTGGAAGGCTTAACATTTCAATAATTTTCAAAGTGATATATAGATTTAATGCAATCCCTTTCAAAACCCCATTGAAATTTTTGACAGAAATAGAAAACTTCATCTTAAAATTCATATGGGCTCTCAAGGGCCTTGAAAACTCTCCTAAAAACTTTAAAAAGTAAAAAAAAATTGGAGGTCTCTTTCTTCTTGATCTCAAAATTAGTACAAGCCTACAAAAATGAAAACAGTGTGGTATTGGGATAAAGACAGAGCTATACTAATCAAATAAAACAGCAGCTCAGAAATAAATCCACAAGTATATGTATGGTCAGATGAATTTTGACAAGAGGTCAAGACCATTCAATGGGCACAGTATAGTCTTTGCAGAAAAAAGCACTGGAAAAGCTGGATCTCTACAAGCAAAAGACTGAAACTGGACCTTTCCATAATGTCATACACAAAAATTAATTTGAAATGGATCAAAAGCCTACATATGAGACCTAAAACTATAAAACTCTGAGAAGAAAACATTGGACAAAAACTTTGTAACATTGGATTTGGCAATAATTTCTTAGAGATGATGCAAAAAGCACAGTAAAAAAAGAATAAAAAACAAATTTGAATTTTTTGAAAAGTGCATTAAAGGATACTGTCAACTCAAGATAGTAAAAAAGCAAACCACAGAGTGGGAGAAAATATTTTCAAATTCTACAAGGTACTTATATTCATAGTATATAGAGAACCCCTTAAGCTCAACAATAGAAAACAAAACAAAGCTCTATTCAAATATAGTCAAAGAGCTTGAGTAGATGCATTTCCAAAGAAGGCATACAAATACACGAATAAAAATATGGAAGTGGCTGGGTGTGCAGGTGCACCTGTAATCCTAGCACTCTGGAGGCAGAGGCAAGCGGATCACTGCGAAGTCAACGCCAGCCTGGGCTACATAGTGAGTGCAATAGCGAGACCCTGTACCCCAAAACAAATATATATTATATATATCTATATATCTATATATCACAATATAATAAAATATTAATACGAACACATTAATGTATAAATATATTACAAATATGTAAATAATACAAATATATGAAACATAAATAATATAACTGAATAAATATATTAAGTATTATATATTATATTGGTATAATATTATTGTATTATAATATATTACTATATCATACGATATAATATTAAAATATAATATTAATGTATCACATATTAAATATTATACACAATTATCATATTTAATATATAATGTAAATATATATATGAATGAAACTGTGCTCAACACAACTAACCATTAAGGGAAAACAAATCAATATTGCAGTGGGATACCACCTGACACCCATTAGAATAGCTACTATCAAAAAATAGGAAATAGGACATATTGGTGAGAATGTGGAGAAATTTGAACCCTCTTGCACTCTTAGTAGAAATATAAAATGATACAGTTCCTGTGGAAAACAGCATGGTGGTTCCTCAAACAATTGAAAATAGCATTATCATATGATTCAGCAACTCCACTTGTGATTAAGTATCCAAAAAAAGTGAAATGAAGGTCTCAAAGAGATATTTGTACACCCATGTCCATTGCAGCATTTTTCACAGTAGAAAGAATTATCTATCAAAAGATGAATGGATAAACAAAATGTGTTTACACATTTTATACATAGTATGGAAAATTATTCAATCATAAAAAGAGAAGAAATTGGCCATTTAGAACAACATAGTTTAAAAACTGGAGGATGTTATGCTAAGTGAAAGAATTTAGAGTCAGATAAGTATTGGATGATTTCACTCACATGGTGTACATACACTGGTCAAAATCATGGCGGCGGAAAGATGAGATGTGTTTTCCGGAGGCTGGGAGAGGGGAGCATGGTTACTGTATGAGTGCAGAGTTTCAGTTTTGCAAGATGAAAGTATTTTGGAGACAGTGATAATGGTTGCACAACAATATAAACATAGTTTATATCACTGGGCTGTTTGAAGAGTTAGTATGTTAAATTTTATGTTGTGTCTTTTACCACAATAAAAAATAGTTGGGAAAAATCATATTTAGGAAGAAAATTTAACAAGACTGATGTTAAAGGTGCCCTTTAGTAAATAAATTAATCCTTTTCAATAGCTATGAGCAAAAAAAAAATCAAAGAAAATGGTAAGGAAAGTTACATAGGGACAATCTATTGGTGGGATTTAAAATCAAAAGGATTAACAAGAATCCAGGTCAAATAATTCTTTTAAAAAGAGTGAGAAAATGAAAATGTTGAAGTTTTTATAATTTCATGAGAGGAAACGGTCATAAAATTATTTAATTTTACTTGTACTGAGTTTTATTTCTTTTTTTCAATTTTTATTTTGTATTAGCACATGTTTGGAGTGGTAATGATTGCATTCCTTGTGGAAAGTTGGTACATGTACATAACACATCTAAATTACTTTTTACATCCCCCCCTCCTCTTGGTTCCTTTCTTTTTTTGTAAAAAGATTGCCCTCTCTCCTTTTCTTATCTATCTTTTATTTTGCTCTTTATTTCTATTGTAGGTTTTTCATATGAGAGAAAGCATGCTATATTTAATCTTGTGTCTGATTTATTTCACTTAACATTACTGCCTCAAGGTACCTCTATTTTCCTACAAAATTTCTAATCAAATATTATTTCTTCTAGAAGAATGATGACTCCTGATGCAGTTCTAAAAAGGTTTATGCTGTATGAATGTTTGTTGCAAAATGGCTGCAATGGAGTTCGATATTTGGAAATATATCCTACACATGAAAGATTTATTGGAAAATAGAATAACTTGTGATCAGAATAAGGAAGTCAGCAAAATAAACGGAAAATGAACTGTAAGTGCTCACTATATTTCTTGACATACAGGAGGCATTTAATCAAAATCACTTATTGGAGACTCCCATAGTAGTATGATTTTAAATGATTGGAGAACACATTCATTCAACAATTATTTACATTGTCCATACATTTCGATATATATTCAGATAAACTGCAGTGGATCCAGAAGATAAAAAGAGGAGTAAAGAGATGTTTTCTCAAATAAATTTACTGTCTTCTTGGCATCTTGAAATGTACAATAAATACAATAAAATTTCATAAAAATGCTGAGCCAATGTATGCAAAGGAGCATGATGATAACTGCTCACTCTGAGTAGGGGGAAATGCCAGTTTTGGAAAAAGTGGCATAACCTGTCTTGAAGGATGAGGAGTTTTCTGAGCAGAGAGAATAAGAGTATGTACAAAGAATGGAAGCAAAATGTTTTCAGAGAAGCAAAATGTGCTCAGGAAAGATTAGTTTGGAGCTTGGTAGGCATGGAATTGTGGGAAGCGAAGCATGCTAAGAAACTGCAAAAATTAAGATGTTTCGAGGCCCCCAAAAGGTTTGTTTTCTATGCTAAAGAGTTAGGATTTAGTCCATGCAAATGGAAGGATTATTGCAAGTTTATTATATAAGATTGACACGATTGGATTTATTGTTTTGTTTTGAGTGCTGGGGATGGAACCCAAGACCTTGCACATAATAGATAAGCACTCTACCACTGAGCTACACTGATAGCCCCAGATTTATCTTGTCTGATAGAATTCAGGAAAATTACTCGAACATATATTGGAGGGAAATACAGCTGCAAAGAATACTATTATAAGAGTCAATATAAAAGCTGATGGCAAGGAATGGAGGTAATAGAGGAGAGAAGATAGATTTGGGAAAACAGTATTTAAATGATGAGCATGATTTTAACGGGGAAAAATTGCTGAAGGTAAGATGCAGAGAATTAAAGCCTTAGGTTTCTTTTAAAAATTATTTTATTGGTACACTTTTGATATACAGAATGATCACAGTCATCATAGGGAATTAGTATCTGTACATAATATATCTTGATTCTTTTTTTTCTACAAATCTCCTCCTTTCCCTTCAATTCTTTTTTCTCTCCCCATTTACAAAACTTAGTGTCTATTGTTTTCCTTCTATTCTAATAAAATATTTTATTCCTGTTTCCTTCCTTCCCTTCCTCTTCCCCTTCCCTTACTCCCCTTCCCATTTGAAAATTTTCTCCCTACTTTCCAATATTGATCCTCCAGTTTGGTCCTTATTTACCCTTTATGTATCTCACACAAGAGAAACAATGTGATATTTAAACATGTGTGTCTGATATATTTCACTTAAAATTATATTCTCAAGGTGCATCCATTTAAAATTCTTTCAAGTTTATCCTTCTTTGTGGCAGAGTAGTAGTCCATTATATATAAAAACTCCATCTTCTTTATCCATTTATCCATTGATGGGCATATGGGCTGTTTCCAAGATTTAGCTATTACAAATTGTGCTGCTATAAACATGTGTATTTATATATTGCTGTGCTATGATGCCTTTAATTCTTTTAGAAAGCTACCAAGAAGAGGAATAGCTAGATCAAATGGAATCTCTAGTTTTAATTTTTTGATGAATGTCCATACTGATTTCCACAGTTGTTGCACCAGTCTACACTCCCACCTCCAGTGGAGAAGTGTTCCTTTTCCCCCACAGTCCCATCAGCATTTGTTTTTAGTTGATTTCTTGATGATTGCCATTCTTTCTGGAGTGAGATGGAGTCGCAGTGTTGTTTTAATTTCAAGCTTCAGATTTCTGTCTTGGTGAAGTAGGTGGGTGGGTGGTGATGTCACTCTGAACCAGGGAGCACTAGAGGAGTAGTAGATGTGATATCAGTGGGGGTCTAGTTCAAGTCTGAAGAGGAGGAATGAAGCACCTGTAGGACTATTGGGTGGACATGTCCACTTCGGTGTTAAAAAGTTAATGTTTTTGAGTCACTGAATAGATAACAGTTGAAGCTTAAGTTTGACTTAGGTCATTTAGAGAGAGTTAGTAGGGGCCAGAACTGGAAGAAAAGCTTTTGCAAAGGAAAAAGGGAAGTAAGAAAACTACCAGGCAGTAGTATTAAGCAAGTTTGGAGAAAAAGAGAAGGCCTTAGTATAATAAGTAAAGCTCAAAGGCCAACAGATAGCTAGAGGCTACAACAGTATTTTGGGTAAATGCTATACTTTTACAATATGTACTTTGTTTGGTAAACTAAGTTTTAATAACTTTTCTTTGTTCTTGTAAAGAAAAATGTGAATAGATCTGCTGCATATTACAAAAATTTCATAAGATAAACCAGTATTTATAGCTTAGGGTATATCATTATCTATATTAATATATGCATTCATATTTAAAAATATACAATAATATTTTAAAATTCTAGTCAATTTGTTTCTAAAGAGATGACATTGGCTCCAAAGGAGAAAAAAAAAAGCAAAGAAAGAGACTTATGGAAACTGAAAATTTATTATACAAGTGATAATCATGAAGTCATTGTGAGCTGAAAATAATTATTTTTAGTGAGATGGAGACAGAAGTCAAATTTAATCATTTAAAGAATGAATTGCCCTAAGGACTTGGAGACTATAAATTATGTAATACTTTCAAGAAACTTAGTGCTAATAGGCAAGTTTTTTTTTAGAGGAAGAAGATTTTTTTAATATAAAGACTTAAGCATGTGTGCATTATGAGACATAAAAAACCTCTGGGAAGAGGTATATTGAAAATAGGTAGTTAAGATAAACATTTCAAAGGAGATTAAAAAAACAGCTAAATTTAGAGCAATGTAGCCTGCAGGGGAGAAAGAGCATCCCTTCTTCCAAAATAGGTGTTAAAACTTTGAGACTGGGTGTAATTAGTGGAAATTAAGTGAAGAGGAAAACCTGAAGGTGTTCATACTTGATGGTCTGTCATTGCCCATGAACCAAGAGGCAGCAGCATTTGCTGAAGCTGAGGGGGAGAGGAATGATGGAGAAGACACTGGTGGAGATTTGGGACAGTCCCTTCCACAATGTGAAAGGGAGTTTACCAGGAATAAAACCAATGAAAATGAAAGGATTCACAATGAAAGCCATCATTTGTCTAAGTTACAAGTCACTTTCAAGAACTAATTTGCAAATTCAAGTACTTTGGCTACTCTGACAAAACTCAGGAGATTTGGAATATGAAAAAAATTTTAGTAACAAATATAATAATGTCACTTAAGCCAAATCAATGGTTTTTTCATCTCCAACCGACTTAGGGGAAAAGTGGCATATTTGCTTGCCATGAAAAGGATAATAGGGCATGGAAAAAGTGAGAGTGAATGTTGTTTTGGAAAACTTCAATTTCTATGAAAAATGAAACTATCAAGCACTTTAGGAGTTAGTCCCAGAATTTAACAAACTGGATTTTAATCCAGTCTTCACTACTTGCTAGGTAAACTACCCTTCTCCATTTTATAGGATCAGAGGAAAAGCAAAACCATCTTCACTTGGGCTTTGTGAGAATTCACAATCATTCAAATTGATTATTTTTTTAAAAACAATACTTCACATTGAATGACTTTAGACTATTTTTAAAATTTTCCCTGACACTTACTTTGAGGAAAAGTGAGGACAACCATCTTTGTCCACTCATCACAGTCTCATATGGATAATATTTCTCTCCTGGCTGTGCTCCCAAGGCAGGACTTTTGTTGGGGTATAGAAAAGCTCTTGGACCCAGCATCAGCAAGTGTGGTCAACAAAGAGAAGAAACATTTCACCCTGGGCCGCATGCAGGGACTGCTCCTAGTAAGTCAGGAGAAGAAAAGAATTTTCCTTTGTTCATGTTCTTGAATATAAACCACAGTACTCACTTTTATCTCCAAGGGAAAAGGGACTCATGGTGAACCCATGTTTTTAGTAGAAATCAGTGTGTTAAGAAGTTTGAGTTTCTAAAAGAATAGAAGAACTGAGAGTAAAATTTATCTTTCTAACTACTCGAGTACTGAATGACAGTAGCGAGCAAATAATGAATCAGAAGGCACAGACCCGAAGTTGTTTATACTTAGAAGGTGTGCACACAACATGATATGATCTGAACTACACTAGTAACATTTTTTAAAAATTGCTTGTTTCCTTTGGTCTGATACTCTAGAAGTTCAGCTTGATTATGCTTCTTATGGCTCAAGTTATTTCAAAGATTTGTAAATCATGAGTCTTGTCATTTATTGATTGATTTTTTAAAAAGATAATGAGCTGGTGGCTTTCTCCTGTTGCTGGGGCTCTGTAGCAGGCAACTACTAAGAACTATCAAGAGAGAAGGCCTAGTGCAAAAACCTTTTCTTGGGTCCTGGTAGTATTCCCTCCGCACCATGGAACTGAGCAACTGATACGGTGTGTCATAGTGAGCACTCTTCACATAATTAATAAAGCAGAGTGGTAGCCCAGCAGGTATATTAAACACAGAATTAGAAGATAGTACCAACTCCCAGAGTTATAGGGTTCAGCAGGATATTGTATTTATGAAAGCTCACTGTGAGTGAAGGTATTATTATGAAAATGTTTATTCATATGTACATTTAAAATAAGTTTCTACTTAAAAAAACAATCCTATGAAGACAATTTTCCACTTGTGAAAATGTCAATGTCAAAAGTGAATTTTCAAAAATAAAAGAAATACTTTAAATTATCTTTTGTAGCAAAAACATTAAGAGTGTATATGTTCACAAATACCAGTTACTGGTAATTCTCCAAAGTCTAAAACTTATGGATATAAGTTTTCAAAAGAAGTGGCAACTTCCACTTAAAAAGGGCAATCTATGGACATCTCTCTTGTTTCCCTAACAAGATATAAAACTGTGTAACAGGAGAATAAATCTGTAACTTCTCTGGTGCACAATAAATACAGCCAACAGTGAAGAATCTCTGCAAATTACAGAATTTGCATTTAGTTTCAAGGAGACAGAAGAATAAACACATGACTTGAACCATGTTCCAGTAGACCCGGAAAAGAATC